GTGGCTGAGTGTGATAGCAGAAGAGTCGTTTGGTATAACAAGGGACAAGTGGAGATTAATATTCTACCCAGAGTTCCCCAAAAGGTCGGCCAGGACTTCAAGGACTACAGCAAGTTAGTTCGACTTCTTCCTTGACTCAATCAATCCAGCTCCTTTCCTCGTAATTTAAGACACTGATCCGTAATAAACATCGTTTACCTCCAAATTCCATCTCTATATCTGCTTCCAGAAAACTCAAACTAAAGTGTGCTAGACAGGCAGCGTGGGGTAAGCAGGAGGGTGACTGTTCTAAACAAAGAACAAGTAAAGGAAAGGCACCAGATCTGCCCCTATTTGAAGATCAGTGGGTGGCTCAAAGGTCTAAGATATTGCAAATCTGCTGTTACCTGCCAAGTTGGGCCCAAAATCTCATGAGGAAGGCAATGCCACTTATTCTTAGGAGCCTTGAAGAATAACCTGGTTTGGTGCTGTCATCTTGAAACACCAAAGACTGTCTTTTCAGAAAATGCAAATGCATGCTAGCTATTAAGCAAAAATTCCAGCTCATAGCAAGATCAGCCAAATCACCTAAATTTAAGTCACAACTGTTACTAGGGGAGCTTTGGTAGCCTAATGGTAAGAAGCAGTGCTTTAGTTCCAAAAGCACACGGTTCAAATCCATCAGCTTCTCTGTGAGAGAAGGATGAGCAATCTCCTCTAGTTCAATTTACTGCCTCTGAAAACCCACTAGAGGGTCAGCTATGGGTCAATTCTGATTCAATGGCACACAAGAACTGTTTCTCAATTATCTTTATATGTGTAGATAAAAGAGAATGCGGTCTTTTCTAGAACGCAGTTGCAAGGTAGATTTAATGGTTAAGGTTGATCCTGATGGTGGTTAGAGATCAGCTAAAGCTTCTTTCATGACAGAGATTCTATCGTTAATAAATAGTCTTTTTAAAAATAGAAATATCATTCCCCCTCCCCCATCTCTCTCTCTCTCTTACACACACACACACACACACACAAATTTAAAACTCCTCATCAGTCACCTATTGCATTACAGTAAAGACTCTTGCTCCACAAGATTTCACCCAGATTCTCTCTCTCCCTTCTCACATCATTCTACTCCTGTCTTGGTTTTCTCTCTACATTGCACATTTCTTGCCCATTTTTGTCCCAGAGTCACTGATGGACTTTGAGTTGCCAAAGAGACACAGCCTTTGGTTAGCAGCAGAACTCCCTATGGACTGCACCATCAAAATACCCCCAAGTGCACAGCCTTAAAGAACAGGAAGATTATTCACTTCACAATGAGACGGAGATATTGTGGACTTAAAATCAGAGTCAATTCTTGAGTTGGATTTTATTTTCCAGAGCCCTAAAGCTAGGCAGCTGAAATAATTTCTTAAGGACCATCCTATTCAACCTTTGGAAATGAAGCATCTGTGTTTTAATGGAAAATCTACTTCTCATTGTAAAGATAGCACACAGTGTTCCTGGCATCTTTCCTCTCCACAAAATGTAATTCAGATATTTCCCTATGCCCCTACTTTATCTTTAATCCCATATGCCAACAAAGTAGGCCTGACTGATAGATAAATTTTTTTTAATAAAAAATAAGTGGAAAGTGGTTTCCCATTCTGGATAAAACCAGACAGGGTCACTTGTGTAGACATATTTATTTATCAAGGAGTCTCAGGAGGCTTAAGGAGTACAAGGAGTGAAGGGTCCCATGTAAACAACCTCAAAGCCACTAAATACAGACAAGAGTCCATAACTACCCCAAGGTCTACAGCTCCAAAGAGGATCCACACGCGTCATCAACTAATAAGTCATTTCAACAACTGTTTCTCCTTGCTGTAGGGAAATAGTGAAGATAAGAAATGTCCCTGCTGTAAGCATCCTAGAACTCAGATAAAGAGCTGAGATGCGGGCACTGACAAATGTCAACAGCACAAGGCAGAGTACAGGTTTTCCCCACTATCTGAAAGGAGAGTGCCCCTGGGAAACTTTTTTGCAAACTGACATGGTGCAAAGAAATAATTACCAACAATTTGGTGGTTCTTAGGTGCTGTTAAGTCTTCTCTGATTTAGTGATGCTATGGAGAACAGAACAAAACATTGTCTAATACTTACTGCACCATCCGCACAAATTCTGTGCTTTCTCCACTGTGGCAGCCAGTGGGGTCAATCGCTCATTCACATGCGAGACACTTTTTGAGCATTTCCAGACATCCCTCCCCAAATAGCCTACCACATAAAACTAAATAATGCGTAAAACCTAAACTAACACTAGCATACAGTAGTCACACCAGTTCAAAGTCAGGTAGATTAATGCTGAGTTTAGTTCCTGGGGAAGGAGCTTAGGAAGGAGCTATCATCTCTTTTACCTTTCCCCATGAAAAAGAAAATGCTCTTTGTATTATGTTGTTGTTAGTATAAGCAGGTACTAGTGTAGGTCTTTCGTAAACGCAAAGCTGTACGAAAAGAAAAGTGGCATAAAAGCAAAAAGCAAGGGATGCCTATGTAAGGGCCAGCAAGTTCCTACAACTTACAGCCAATAATGGTTATTACTGAGAGAACAAATGTGTCTGTCTTAGAGAAAGTATAACCAGGCTGCTCTTTGGAAACAAGGATGGTGAAACTTGGCCTCACAAACTTTGGGTATATTGTCAAAAGGGACCACAGAGGACCTCATTTCACTCCATCTATTGGACCTGTGCTCTGAGCAGGTTGGAGGTAGAATTATCAGGTTTCTACCAGACTCCTGATCATTGGATTTCTAGTCTTCCAAGGAGGAATAGGTCAACTGTGTGGACTAATTTAGTTCTTGACCTCCACATTCCACCATACACTCATCCTTCTACAAAACAGCACCCTCACTGCGCAGTTATTAATTTATTCAGCAGGTAATTATTGAATGCCAATTTTGAGGCAGCAACTGCACTAGATGTTGGAAGCAACAGAGTCACACAAGATCTCAGGAGACTTCTACTCTGTGATTGGAGGTGGGCATTGGGGCGTTGACAGGTCCAGTCAACAATAACTGTGTGAGGATAGAGAATCTCCACACCATTCTTCCTACTTAACACTGGAGCTTGTCTACTTCACTCCTGTACCTTCAATACTCATCACCATGACTGTCACACAGTGGGTACTCACTAAATGTCTACAGAATTACATGAAGATGACACAAGTCAAGTGTTAAGCCTTAAGTTTGCCTTCATTGTGGTTGTTTCCTGGATGAAAAGAAAATAAGTGTCCATGACAATTCTTCAAATTGGTTCTAGTATATTGGAGTTGAGAGAACTGGGCGAAGGTGCCTTCATGACCATTCTCCCCTCTCAGCCATCATGTCCCCATAGCCAAGGTCCTTCACGAACCACTTAGACTTTCATGCTCTTGTAATTCCTCCGCAGACTGGATGCCCTACAAAGAAGATTCCAAATTGTCGACATTTCTGTTGACATTCAGGAGACCAGTCTTGGATACAGAACATCTGATTGAGATGTAACTGCTGTTTTCTTGTGCTCTCGCAGAGGGGCTGTTCTCAGCCCACTAGGGCAACAAATGGCCAGCAGACTGGGACCACACACGCTTGCACCTCTGAGCTAAAATCCTACCCACACGAAATAGAGGACATAACCTTGGAAATAGTTAAGTCCAGAGTTACTTGCTCCCCCATCTCAATGGTCCCCACACTGCTACCCCCAGCACACATGGTATTGAAACAGCAGTGGTGCTCTGTGCTGGAGGAAGTCCTTTCTCTCCCTTGGGGTTCCAGCTGGCTGTGAGGCAGGGAGCTACCGCCTCCTCTCAGATGCTGGGCTGTGGAAACTGAGATCTTGGCTTCTGTTGGGATCTTCCCACACCATTACGGTCTCCTGCTGGGCCTGGGGTCCCAGGGAGGCAGAGCCACTCTGGCAGAAGTTGAAAAACACCAGAAGTGAAGAAATGTGCAGAGGGAGAAGACATTGAAAAATAACTACATTTATGTAGGTAGTGGGCCTTGGGGCTGAGCAGACATCTGAGATCTGAGTTAACAGGATAGGGCTGGTGTGTGACTGGAGCACAGGGAATATGGGACAACTGTGCCTGCAAGCCAGGCATCCTAGGTAAGGTGCACACCTGGCTTAGTCAGAGCCCTCAAGGGAACCTCTAGCTTGCAAGTCCTTCAGCAGAAAGCGCCTCAGGCATCCCCTGGTTCTAGCAGCCTCCTTTCACAAAAGATCCTCAGGCTAGTAACTAGGAATAGCAGAGCAGGATTAGAACCCTGGCATTCTGGTTCACACTCTCCAAGTCTTTTCTCCTTGCCCTGCCCACTCCCAGGTATGGGTTCCAGGAAGAGTCCCCAGTTTGCAAATCTGGAAATCTCCTTTCGCGATGACTTCTGCGAGGCAGGGGCACACTTTTCTGGTTCTGATGGTAAGCTTAATGCCCACTGTCTCTTTTCTCCATCCAGCTCCTTTCTGGGAAAGATACGGGGTCTTTAGTGGCCTATCAGTAAGGACGTGGGGCTGTTTGGGAGAAACGATGGGCAGGCTGCCAAGGGCTAGTATGGCAGCAAGGCTCTCAGAGACAGTGGGCATATGCTTTGGTCTCCGGGCAGTGTAGGGGGAAGTGGAGGTGGAATCCAGAGACTTCTTGGGTCATAAGAATTCTTGCTCTCCCCCTCAGTCTCACCCTCACTCTGCCTGTGGGGGCCACGCCAATGACCAGGGGCAGGGCAAAAGCAGGAAAGGGAGGGAGAGACGGGTTTGCTGGTTTAGTCCGCAGGGCACTGCCCGCCCCTCCTCCACCGACTGTCTCAACTCGCTCCTCTTCCCCTCTCCGCCCCCCTGTCCCTCTGGGCTGCTCGGGCGCCACCACTACTGTCCCCAACCCGCCCCGCCAGGAGAGCTTAAGGGCAGCGTGACTCAAGCCGCTGCCACCAGCCCACAGAGTGCCAGGGGCGTATAAAGGCTGTCAAGGCAGGCAGTGACCCTGCTCTGCCCTTCCAGGCCCGAGGCTCATAGATCATGACCCGAGGCGCGCAGCGAGGCCGCGAGAGCGCGGGCTGGGGGCTGCGTGGCGCCGTGGCTGCCGTGGCGCTGCTCTCGGCTCTCAACGCGGCGGGCACCGTGTTCGCGCTGTGCCAGTGGCGCGGGCTGAGCACGGCGCTGCGGGAGCTGGAGGCGCAGCAGGGCCGCGAGCAGCGCGAGGACAGCGCCCTGCGCGCCTTCCTGACCGAGCTGAGCCGCGCGCCGCGCCGGGCCTCAGAGCTTCCCCAGGACCCCGCGAGCGCGGCGCGCAACAAGCGCAGCCACAGCGGCGAGCCGCTGCCGCACATCCGCGCCGAGAGCCAGGACATGCTGATGATGATGACCTACTCCATGGTGCCGGTAGGCGGGGGCTCGGCTCCCGGTGGCGCCCCCGCCGGGGTGGGACAGGGCGCCAGCCGTCTTCCCACAGGGAGAGTCAGCCAGTGTAGAGGAGGCAGAGGCGTAACAAGGGTAGGCGGGGCAGAAGGGCCATCGCCCAGGGGAGTAAGTCCAAGGCATTAGCCTGTAGAGGGGCTGGGAAAAGTGGGTACAACTGCAACATTGCCCCCGGGCGCTCATCGCCCTCTCTGCACCTCTGCCTGGGATGTGAAACCAGCTGGGCAAGCATTTTAACTTCGGATCAGTTTACTCGTTTGCTGA